GATTTCAAGTTCTAATTTACTTACAAATTTAATAATGTGGGCCAATGGGACATACACAAAAAAGTTTAGAGACAACTTCCGAAGCCTATATATTGGCGAGATCTTAATACTGCAACGCATCTTAAAAAACCAGTGAGGATGATGCTCAAATAGGGTTTAATGGCGGAATTTTGTGAAGGCAATAGTGAGCCCTTTGATTCTATAAAATGAGAGATATTTGTGATCAACGTAACATTCACCTGTTACTCAAAGAAAAATGTATTTCATCGAATTAACTGAGTTTGTATAGCAACGGGCTATAGGCTGGACGACCGAGGTTAAGTTCCCGGCAAGGGCAAGAGATTCTTTTCTACTCCACAAAGTCCAGACCAAATCTTGGGTCTCCCTTTATCCTGTACAATGGGTAACAAATTTTTATTTATTTCCTGCAAAGTACAGACAGGCTCTGGGTTTCACACAGTCTCCTATAGAATAGGTACACTGGACTGTTTCACCAGAGGTAAAGCGGCAGGGGCGTGAAGCTGACCTCTCACCCCATCTAACGTAGAGATTAATACTGATGGAGCTATACCTCCATTTCCTCATACGCCTTCATGGCATGGCGATTGATTAATTAGGTATGCCCAGGTCCATTGTTATTCGTGTGTTTATGCTTCATGCAAGACAAGATCATTATAGGACAGACTTGCATGTTGTAAAGCGGCCTGCAAGTCTGTACCTGAAGTGCAGTAGGGCTGTCAGTGGCTCTAGGTTAACAGTCCTGCATTAGGGTGAGAGGCCGATTTTCATAACCACAAATATAACAGGTTAAATGAGGTTCGGTAATTTTGTTTAGTGTAGTCTTTAAGATTAGGTCTGTAGGTAACACTTACCATGTCCGACGCTGCATTTTAAGGAAAGTGGTGACAATGAACACTGGAATACACTGAAATAATTAAACTTCGTGTCACACTTTCTGCAGCCAAACACATATTCACGAACACTTACTACTGCACGTACTTATAAAGAAAATGGACGAACTCTCAAGACCACAGTATTGCAATAGCTTCAGCTCGTCCCATAACACACACGTGTACCAAGCCGCACCGATCCGACCAAGTCTGGCGTTGACGAACTACTGATCTGTGATATTGTTTACGGAACCAGCAGTGGGACAGTGGGATCAGCGAGAAGAGTTTAGCGAGCGTTAGCGAGGAACGAGGGAGAAAAGCGACAGGGAGAAGCGACTCATATAGCTTCACTCTGAAACTGAAGCTTATCTATCCCCTTGTAACATAACTTATACGACTGATAGAACACTCTGCTACATACAGACAAGTTTTAATAATTCTTCCGTTCTTTACGATAATTTTCAAAGTCACAGATTATATACCGTCGCGTTATCAGATGATTGTGGGTGATTTTTAGCTTATTATCACATCTTTTGCCCGCAGGGACTAAGGAAAACCACGAAATGCTCATGAATGCCAATCTCTAAAAGAAAATTTGAATTAGACATCTATTGAATACGAAGAAATGTGCTAATCACTAGACTATGACGTTTGGTAAATAAACTGGAAGTCATGAGGTTTGATGTTCTCAAGGCGGTGAATACGCACATCAAAATAGTAATCTTTTTGGCTATGACGCCGTGTAACTTACTTAGGGACCAACGCTTCAGAAGAACATGCTGTTTTCTTTGACTCTGTGTAAGCTGGTATATAAAGCACAATAGACCACTGAGGTCGCGGTGCAAGGGCCGAGAAGGCATACCTCTCATACAGTCATACAAGCTGGTATGTACCTACGTTTGAAAGAAGCCTCTTTCATTAAGCTGGCAGCAGATTTCTCCGAAACATTGCCATATATCTAGCAGACTACACGTCATCATATCCCACAAGACAGGAGCATGATTATCCCATCGGAGAATAGGGATATCTGTACAGGAACAGATTCCGGCTAATACTTAACTAATGAAGTAGATCAAGATGCTATTCACCGGTGAATACCCGAGTTCTATCAGCAGAGTTATTCTCTTACTTGCTAATCACGGTCACTGCGCCCTCTAAGGTATAACTATCTTCGTCCACTCAAAAACTGGGGTCGTGTGTTCGAATTCCACTCTAGGCATGGATGTTTGCGTCTCTTCTATTGCGACATGACGCCTGAAAGCCCGAACAGCCTATTGCTAGACAACGGCTCGCTAGGCACGTTTCCGTGACGAGTGTGACATGGCATATGAAAGCCGGAATAGTCCACTGCTAGAAAACGGCTCGCTGAAACACGTGTCCGTGATAACGAGTGGACACGCAATAGTGGATGAACTGTTGGGGGTTGTGATCTCTACTCGGTTCGCCCCGAGTTATAGAAGGGGATAAGTAATTGATTCGAGAGTTAAGTCAAAAGTTATTCCTCGTTCGTCATTCATCCTTAGTGATTCGGAAGTTACCGATTCGTAAATCAGAACCAAGTCAGTCGCAGTGGACGAGAAGACACTCGTAGTCCAGTAAGGAATGGAGCGAGTCACTGATTGTGAGTTGGTATAATTAATTGTAATTAAGAGAGTTTGCAAAGGAGGCGCTAAAGTCATCCAATCCAGAACTTGTTATTATTAGCCACGGAATCCTGGACATGTGACACTGTGTTTGTATTTTCCTGTCTAGTTAGTGGCATTGAGACAGGCTGATTCCCTCCCAAGGACACCTACCGAGTTTCTGCATGATAATGAAACTGTGAAACAGTTCACTTGATGAATCATCATCATCATCATTCATCTGTAATCTGTCAAGACGACAGGTCCACAGTCTCTTCCAAAACAGTTCTTCCACTTGATGTGATCTAGAGCTTTCTCCTTCAAATGACAGTATCCTCTTCTGTCCCCAAGGTCATCCAGCATCTTCTTACGTCTTCTTGTCTCTTCTATTCGCCCTTCTATCTTTCCTTCAATAACTTCTTTTAGAAGGNCTCCAAATGTAGCATTTCACTAGTTTCTTCCTCAAATTTAAGTCCAATTTGCTGGTAAAAAGATTCTTCTTCTTGCTAAGTGCAGCTTTTGCCATGGCAATCCTAGATCTAATTTCACAAGTACACCTTCCATCATCTGTTAACAAGCTACCCAAATATTTAAAACATTTCACATTCTCCAGTTGTTTTTGGTCTATCTTTAGTGTGACTGGGGTGGGTTGTCTCGAAATTTTCATTACTTTTGTTTTCTCCACATTCATTTCCATGCCATAGCACCTTCCAATTTCGATTAGTCTATCAACTTAATGAATAGCGGTGATTAATTACAAGTATCTGAAAAGGAAATTTACCTAGAGGGTTGGCTCAGCGGTAACGCTTCTGATTTTTATTTTGTAGGTCACCAGCCGGGACATAATTATCCTGACTAAGGTTTATCGTGGCTTTCATCAGTCCCTCCAGGCAAATTCCAGCATAATATATCCATCAGGCTACAACAGCTTCCAGATATTGTCCAAGTTGCCGTTCATCAGTCGCCATGTTGAATAATGTTTGCAATTTTTGATTCACGGAAGAAACGAGATCCTCCATGTTCAATGCACAACGCTATGATAACTTTCTAAAAATTAAGTGGTAGGTTTAAATCTTAACAACTCCGTTAATACGAAAGAATATTATGGCTTATATACCGTTGTCGGGCAACGACCGCGATACAAGCAATGAGACAACAGCCGTTACCGGACAGCGGCAAGAGCGCCAATCGACTGGCTGGAAAGCGGTGTTTTCTGCTCGGTCCGCGCCGATGGCTACGCAAGCAACAATGGGTACAGAATATAGGTACGGTGTTTTGTGTGCTGTCCGTGCCTTAGATGTTATAGGTAACGAAATTAGTGAGTTCAGTTCAGTGTAGTGAAGTGAAGTAGTTGGTTGACGAGTTAGTTAGAGAACTAACAGTTCAGCCTTTGTGAGCTGTTGCTCTTAGAATCTGGTAGCTGAGGCACGGGAATAGTTCGGAAAACCAGAGTAAGGGGAACGTCCGCCGTTGAAGCCGTTAACAGGCAACGACTGGCGAAGACGCTGGAAAAGACTTTGTGTGTGCTGTAGTGAACTGCAGAGTGTGTGAATTATCGACAGTGCCGCTGTAGTTACTTGTAGTTACGATCTGTAAGTAGTCACTGAAACCAATTAGCAATCCAAATCCCCATCTATAGTCATCCATACACGTGAGAATATTTTGGTTAACTAACTTAGTGTCCACTCTGTGCATTTACTGTCTTCCCCATTCGTGCTACATGTATCACCACTGACTTTCTCTGTCAGATGCACACGGAGTGAACTAGCTCAGTGTGATACGGAGGGAGGGCATTGGAATGCCGTCGACTGCTGCTACTAGAGACTTGGAGGATTTCTAACATGGGATGTAGTCACTCCTGACCTATACCAAAAAGAAAGTGATATTTTCAGCCGAGATCTTGACACAGCTCTACACCACAACAAGTCTCCGCACACAATTAAAAAAAAAACATAGCATACTGGAAGCACAGAGTATCAACTGAAAAATAATAAGTTTTAATTAATTTTGAAGAAATTCAACAGTAATTAGAACTATGTAAGATTTGAGGCTTTCACGGCGGTGAATATGAAGCAAGTAGTCTTCTGGGATTTGGCACCGTGTATATGTGGTGTTAACCGACGTTTCGGAGGAACGTCGGTTAACACCACATATACACGGTGCCAAATCCCAGAAGACTGCTTGCTTCATAATTAGAACTAGTTTTAACAAATTGTTAGCAATATAGGGTTACAGCTGAGCTGAATATACTGATTGAACTGAGGAGATTTAATGTTTTTCCCGATGTTGAAAGAAGATCCAGTTCAGAAACATCACGCTTTTTATTTGTGCAACGTATAGGTCTGTCCAGAAACTCTATAACTCCCGTTAGAGTCTCGATATGACAGCGGACGGGCACCTTTCATCTGAAGCATTAATTGCGCAGTTTAATTTCCTTTCGAAATGAATTATCATGCAGATGTTATGCAACTCCTTTGTGGGAGCCGTCATGCGTGTTGTGCACAATGAATCCCAGTTTCCACAGTCCGTTCTCTTGTATTACAAGTATATAATTGTGAGAAAAATCCCTGAAGTGACGGAGGGGCCGCGCGACCATCTCGGTGACTTCGCAACAGTCTGTGCTTACACGAGGCAGGAGAACAGGCTCCATGGAACACTGCAGGTAAGAATCAGACTAATGTGGAGTGTTATGGTGGAAATGACATAGAATGGAACAGGGGGTATTTATAGGTATAAATAGACATAATCAGAATGTGTTGTAGCCTACTGAGGATAACTGAGGAGCTATTACAAGGAAATAGCGGCTCCGGTCTAGAAAACGGAGATTAACGGCCGTGGGGATCCGCTGCGCTGACCACGTGACACCCTCTATCTCCTAAAATTGGCACTAAATCCGCCGACAAGCGGAGGTCGCTCGGTCGGTATAGTTCGCTTGCGGACTACAGGCCACGGAGTTTGTTTTTTAGCTAATGGGAGAATAATACCAAAATGGATATTTAGAGTGCATATTCAAAGAAAATGAATTCAAAATATGATGTTCTCTATGAGGCAGGGGATTCCTCTCAGCTGCGTGACTGAGAAACTGTCAGCTTTTCAAGAAAGAAACACCACTTAATGTGGTTAAGTATGGTTATCCGTCAACACAACAATAATATTGTCACGTGTCCGAGGTTCCGTGACGAATAATACCGGGTTGTGGATTGGATGATTGGATTTGCTGGCACTTCTATTGCAGTCTTTCTTAATTACACTCGAGTATACCGGCTCTCAATCAATGACTGCCTAAGACTCGCTCCATTCCTTACTGGACTACGAGTGTCTTCTCTTCTGCGTGACTGACTTGGTTCTGATTTACGGATCGGTCACTTCTTCAGCTTCCGGTGTCCGCTGGTCAGCACTCCACAGCTCTTCTCTTCTGCTGCGACTGACTTGGTTCCGATTTACGGATCGGTCACTTCTTCAGCTTCCGGTGTCCGCTGGTTAGCACTCCGCAGCCGAACACTGAACTACGAGTGTCTTCTCTTCTGCTGCGACTGACTTGGTTCCGATTTACGGATCGGTCACTTCTTCAGCTTCCGGTGTCCGCTGGTCAGCACTCCACACTGAACACTGGACTACGAGTGTCTTCTCTTCTGCTGTGACTGGCTTGGTTCTGATTTACGGATCGGTCACTTCTTCAGCTTCCGGTGTCCCCTGGTCAGCACTCCACAGCCGAACACTGGACTACGAGTGTCTTCTCTTCTGCTGTGACTGGCTTGGTTCTGATTTACGGATCGGTCACTTCTTCAGCTTCCGGTGTCCGCTGGTCAGCACTCCACAGCTGAACACTGGACTACGAGTGTCTTCTCTTCTGCTGTGACTGACTTGGTACTGATTTACGGATCGGTCACTTACAAATCACTAAGGATGACTGACGAACGAGGAATTGATGAATCAAAGTCAAAGTCACATTACGACTGACGGTCAGTCAGTCAATAAGTCTTGGTGTCGAGCACCATCTGGGGCTCATGACCAGATATTTATTACTGTTTGACAGTTAAGGTCTTGTTTTTGTGGGGCGCCCTCTATGACGAGAGGACTGGTCTCTCTTTTGTCCTTCTCGGGTCCGAGTTCCTAGGGACTTGCTGCCATATTTTACTGTCTCAATTTTGAGACTTCTCCCTTTTTGTCGCCTCCTACGGGTCGCAGGGTCACGGTGGAGGTATTCGGCCCCGCCTCCACAGGGTAATTAATAAATTAATACATAAATTACGTGTCCCCGTTTTATAACTTCGGGGCGAACCGAATAGAGATCACCACCCATAGTTGGTCTATTATTTCGTGTTTTAGCGATTTGCTACCCAGCAACGGATGTCCTTCCACTGTTGAGAGCGTGTTTACCGAACCGTTATCTAGCAGTGATCATATGCGTCATAATATGTTGGTTTGTTTTATTTTATTGCATTGTATTTTGTTCGAGGGACAATTTACAGTCGCTCAGAGAACTCAGACTACTGTTGAGTACCCTGTGTTCCCCAGATCTTGCTAGGGCCCTTCAAGGAACTCTGGTTGTAGTAACAGAGCGGGGACCATTGACACAATGAATGGTTACAGAGGGGCACACGGCCTCACTGTTCCGTGACAAGAAGCGACGCCGTCCAAGACTATGAGAATACCCGGAACCGGATATGAGCAATTTGAATGACCTCTAACACTCCTGTACGCGATGCTGGATGGCGATCTGACAGCTGCTGCACGCATTAGCCAGTTCTGCTTAGTTATCCAGCAGGTTATGTTTCACGCCCAACAGTTGTGACGGAGAAGTTGCCTAAAATATGCGGCGATAAATCCGTCTTCATTTCACTTCCGGCGTTCAAAGCTCTGGGAAAGCATTTTGGATATGGTCGTAACTGATGATACCACAGTTCGTCTCCGGACGTCATCCTCAACCAGTCCAATTTAGTATGCATTCGGGGGTACGCGGTATCGTAGTTGGTTGAGGCACTATGCTACAAGTCGGAAGGTCGCGGGTTCGAGTCCCGATGAGGTAATTACATTTTTTAATTGAACTAATCCTTCCAGCCACACTATGGTTCTGGTGTCGACAGCCTCTAACAGAAATGAGTACCAGGAATCCTTCTGGGGGCAAAGGGCGGCCGTCGCGTATAGATGATCTCACCGCCATCTGTGAGTCGATTGTCTAGAAAATGTGGAAGCCTCGACGTCTGAAAACCTTATGGCCCCTCCACGGCCTGTCACAAGGATAGCTTCACTTTTAAATTTTACATTCTGTTTCAGTCAAACCGAAGTTGTGTGACTTTGAATTCTGCAATATTTGAAATATTTTGAGTATATGATCAGTTACTATCAGTTTTTAGATCAAAGGATATACACCGAGCGATTAAAACAAAAATATATAAAACAATGATAAGACCGGTGCTTTATTATGGATGTGAGGGTTGGACGCTAAACAAGAAAGAGGAACCAGTCATCAGTTCTTTCGAGAGAAAAATCCTAAGACGAATTTATGGACCAATAAAAGAGAATGGGATATGGAGAATAAGATATAATAAAGAGTTATACAAATTACATAAGGAGCCAGAGATCTCAGTGACGATAAAGCTTAAAAGATTGCAATGGGCTGGGCATGTACAGAGAATGGCTAAGGAGCGTATCCCAAAGAAAATATACAGTACAATAGGTGGTAGGAGACGTGCTGGGAAACCAAGAACTAGATGGATTGATGCGGTGGAAGAAGATGCAAAGAAGTTAATGGGTGTGAGGAACTGGAAGAGAGCAGCGCAGGATAGAGGGGAATGGAGGGGCTTGATAAGGGAGGCCAAGGCCCGACATAGGGCTGTTGCGCCATAGAAGAAGAAGATGCGACTGTTGGAAGGAGCCAGAGATCTCAGTGACGATAAAGCTTAAAAGATTGCAATGGGCTGGGCATGTACAGAGAATGGCTAAGGAGCGTATCCCAAAGAAAATATACAGTACAATAGGTGGTAGGAGACGTGCTGGGAAACCAAGAACTAGATGGATTGATGCGGTGGAAGAAGATGCAAAGAAGTTAATGGGTGTGAGGAACTGGAAGAGAGCAGCGCAGGATAGAGGGGAATGGAGGGGCTTGGTAAGGGAGGCCAAGATCGGGCTGTTGTGCAATAGTAGAAGAAGAAGAAGAAGAAGAAGAAGAAGTATATATTAGTGCAGGCAGTAAGCCTACTTCTGTGGGTTGTCACTGGGTTCTCATGCCTTTCTTGGCCTCCCGCGTGGTCGCTCACCAAAAGGTTTCAGCACAACACTCTTGTCTCTTCCTCTCAGCCACGTGACTTCAGAAACCCAAGCATCGGCACTTAACTGAACGGCCTCTCTACTAAGAAGCAATCTTCTTTCTTTCAGGCATTTTGTGCTGCATTTATAATTGGAAAGGCCAACATAATTGTTTCATGTATGCTGATTCGGAGATACGTAAATATACATATTTCTTTACAGAATACATGTTCTCCTAAAGTCATGACTATCAAAAACTCCGTGGCCTGTAGTCTGCAAGCGAACTATACCGACCGAGCGACCGACGCTTGTTGGCGAAGTTAGTGCCAACTTTAGCGGATAGAGGGTATCGCGTGGTCAGCGCCACTCATCCCCACGGCCGTTAATCTCGGTTTTCTAGAGCAGAGCCGCTATTTCCTTAAAATAGCTNCCACTGGGTTCTCATGCCTTTCTTGGCCTCCCACGTGGTCGCTCACCAAAAGGTTTCAGCACAACACTCTTGTCTCGTCCTCTCAGCCATATGACTTCAGAAACTCAAGCATCGGCACTTAACTGAACGACCTCTCTACTAAGAAGCAATCCTCTTTCTTTCAGGCATTTTGTGCTGCATTTATAATTGGAAAGGCCAACATAATTGTTTCATGTATGCTGATTCGGAGATACGTGAATGTACATATTTCTTTACAGAATACATGTTCTCCTAAAGTCATGACTATCAAAAACTCCGTGGCCTGTAGTCTGCAAGCGAACTATACCGACCGAGCGACCGACGCTTGTTGGCGAAGTTAGTGCCAACTTTAGCGGATAGAGGGTATCGCGTGGTCAGCGCCACTCATCCCCACGGCCGTTAATCTCGGTTTTCTAGAGCAGAGCCGCTATTTCCTTAAAATAGCTCCTCAATTATCCTCATGAGGCTTAGTGGACCCCGTTCCAGACCCACTGCTTCTCAGAAAATCCGGTAGCGCCGGGAATCGAACCCGGGACCTCTGGATCTGTAGCCAGGAACTCTGACCACTAGACCAAAGAGGCGGGCGAATGCCAAAAACATGAAGAGTTAATTTGCTTCTGTTCTGAAGTTGCCGGAGCCTGTACATATATTTAATACAATCCAGGATCTGGCAGGAAAGAATGCCACATCATGCTCACGGGAAAGCGGGGACAGCTGATAACATTCACGTTGTGCCCAGATTGTGACTGTCTCGGGAATTGTGCTTCGTGTTCAGAAATTCAACATAATATGAACGGGAGATTTCGTACGCAACCGAGACCCTATGAGATTACATAATACGTATGTCGTACAGTGAGGAACATATCACCGGATTCGGTTTCTCTGCTCCAGGAACGTGATTATGTGCTGATTCCCGTCAGATTTGGGTTGCATATGAAATGAACTCTCTTCTGGAGTGGCTGCCCCACTCTCAGGGCAGGCGACATCTGCCGCCGCTAACTCATCACAAAGTAGTACAACTAAATTCCACGCATGTGACGTAAGATAAGTCTGCCTCTATGCTTAATTAATTAAGCACCACGCCATCAAAACGTATGGGGCAGTGGATGTATAGTTCCATCACTCTTGGCCTCGGCACTAGATGGAGGACAGTGGTCGCGCCTTAACGCTTTACCCCCCCCCCCCNCCCCCCCCCCCCCCCGGAGGAAGAGCCACCGATGACCTTTCGATAGGAGGCTGGGTGGTCCCCAGAGCCGGTCTGGATGCTAAGGAGAGGAGCGAAGTCTTGCCCCTACCGGGAATCTAGCCTTGACCATGCAGCCCGTAAGGGCCGCGCCATAGTTCAAGCGGTTAGTCGCTGGCTTCTCACCGCGGCGGTCCGGGTTCAAACCCGGGTCTGCTCAAGTGGGATTTATAGTGGACAAAGTGACGCTGGGGTAGGTTTTCTCCGAGTACTTCGGTTTCCCTTGCCAATCTTCATTCCACCAAATTCTCCATCATCATAATCACCCGGGGCAGGTACAATAGGCCAATCAGTGGCCGCCATGCCGAGTGGTCCCAAATGGACTCCCCCCCCCACCATTATGCGAAATGCAGCCCGTAGCCCATCGCTATTGCATATTGGGCATTTAAAATTATTAACTTGCACTGTGAATTTAAACGGCCGTGGCAAGAGTGGTGGGAGCGATATGTTTGTCTTAGGAACCAGTGGTTCCTTGCTGGCTCCTGCGGGGACGGGTTCGACTGAAGACGAGCAATTTCGAAGTAGCTGAGCAACTATTAGCTTGTATTAGCTTTTGCTCCATAGAGCTACGCAGTCAGTTAACTTGAAAAAGCGGCCAATGCCCACAAGGGCTGTAGAACCATAGACAGACAGACAGAAAGACAAGCCTGTAACTTGGGAATTTTACGAGAGACATGGCATTGATATGACGTGATTGATGTCCTTATGGGACAGACAGTGAATTGCTGCTTGCTGCACTACTTTACCACATGATACAGCTGCAGTTAAAATTAATTCTTAAAACGACAGTGAATTTTATATTTTTTCTTCAGAAAGTGAGGAGAAATGAAAGTTTCCCAGACATTCCAAATATACTGTAGGAAAAATTCAGTAGCCGGAAATAAGATTCGAGTCTTGAAGAATGATACAGTAACAGGATACGGAAATATGCAGCCATCAATATCTCTGTTTCTGGGATATAAAAGAGTCAGACATTTCAGATTTACTGGTAAAAACATTTCGATCAGCCTCTTCAATATCAAATGATTTATCCATTATGAATTATGTTCCTCCAAAGGAGTTAATAAAACATTCTTCTTTCAAGTTTTAGAAAGTTGAAATAGCGAATTTGTTTACAAGGAAAATGCCATTCTCATCACGAAAGCGCCTCTTCTCGTGCAGCAGAGTGGCACGGGGCTGCGCTACCACGTTTGTCTCACTTCATCACACGGGATTCCACCATGTTGCCCTCATTTACGTAGCGCCATCTTGAATCACTCGAGGACACGAAGAACAACTGATAACACTACTAAAAGCTCTTTCATAAAATAACTCAGACAATTTTTTCCAGGCAGACAAGAATGGCAGGCTGCAGGGATAAACTCAGAGGCGAGTGGTGTGGAGGTAACGGCACTCATTTCAGATCAGTGATGCCATTCCAATACAGAATCAGTTTTCTTCCATCTCGTAACTATTGAGGCAAAATTAAGTAACATTTAAAATACACATACATTGAGGAAATAAACTGTGTCATTTTCGTGTAAAAACCAATAAGCTGCAAATTCCAAATAGATCTTACAGTACCTGGACATTAGAACAGATGCAATTTCAAACCTAGCAGCATATTGGCCAATTAAAGGTTGTAGTGGCGCAGTGCGTTGTCAGCTGGAAATGAGAGGTCATGTTAACAATTCCTGATGTTTCTGCAGGAACCTGTCTACAGCGAAGGAGACATGAACTGCTGCGAAGTGACGTACCTGCTCCTCCACGTCATCCGTGGCATACTCATGACAATTGTCTGCATGCTGAGAGAAGTTGTACACCTCGTTGTGCCTCGCAGGCAGAAGTCTGTCAAGGGGGAGATCGTTCTGGTACGTTTCTGCAGCGCTCCCNGGGGGGGGGGGGGGCGTGGAGAAGATGCACTGCTCTCTGGTACAAGAGTGTAACTCAGTAACGCAGTAGGAATCATAGAAGATACCTTCACAGTTTCAGGTGACGACACGGCCACGAGGCGAAAGAACGATATTTACGGGAATCTGTCATTACAGAGCCCAATTTAATTTATTTTTCCTGCAGACTCTGTATTTATGATTTAAAAAGAAGCATAGCACGCTTTATAATAAGAACATTGGATTCTCAAATATCATGTGATACCGGCCCGAGATCCCTATTTGGTCTCAAACAGTGAATAACTTCCGCTCTTTTAGAAAGTATATCCTACCAAATGTCGGGGGGCACGCAGTAGCGTAGTTGGTTGAGGCATTATGCTACAAGACAGAAGGTCGCGGGTTCGAGTCCCGAGGAGGTCATTGGATCTTTTTCAACTGACCTAATCCTTCTGGCCTCACTACGGCCCTGGGGTCTACTCAGCTTACAACAGAAATGAGTACCAGGAATCTTCCTGGGGGTAAAGGGCGGCCGGCGCGTAAGGCTGACAACCTCACCGCCATCTGTGAGCCGATTGTCTAGATAATGTGGGAGCCTCGATATCTCAGAAAAAAATGGGCTCCGCGATCTGCTACAGGATAGCTTTACTTTTCCTTATCCCACCAAATGCTGACTAAGTCTGTCTGGGTTTGGCTTCTGATATCGCATTGGTGTACTGTGCGTCACACATGTTTAATGCATTCGTTGTATTTTATAGCATCTTATTAAATTTAATTTTACAGGTAACAGGAGCGGGTCGTGGACTAGGAAGGAGATTAGCACTTAACTTCGGGAGGAGGCAGGCTTTCATTGTCTGCTGGGACAAAGACGCAGAGAACAACCAGAACACTGCAAGTATCTGAGTTCCTCTACTTATGTGGTTGTCACATCAACGGAAACGCCTAAATGAGATGTGTTTCCCTCGCACATGGGCAAAATGCATATGTTAAAACGCGATTTGGGTTCTCGGTTCCTTCGCACTTGAACATGTTTTCGTGTCACAGAAGGACAATTTGAACGTATGAATGTATCACTGAGTACCGAGTTCACACTGAAAGAAGCCATTCAGTTACGTGTCCTTCCCACAAAGCACAAGAAAGTAATGCACATAAGGAAAGGCCGCGCCATAGCTCAAGCGGTTAGTCGCTGGCTTCCCACCGCGGCGGCCCGGGTTCGAGCCCGGGGGTCTGTTCAAGTGGGATTTATGGTGGAAAAAGTGGCGCTGGGGCGGGCTTTCTCCGAGTACTTCTGTTTCCCCTTCCAATCTTCATTCCACCAAATTCTCCATCATCATAATCACCCAGGGCAGGCTACAATAGGCCAATCAGTGGCCGCCGTGCCGAGTGGACCCAGATGGACTCCATTCCACACTATGCGATTTAAAACGTATATAAGGATAATGGTGTCTCTCAGTCTCCCCCCCCCCGGCTGTCCTCATATAACTGGACAATTGACTGTGATGTAAATTGATGCGTATGTAGCAGCGCTGAAGACTACTCCGAATTTGGAAGGTTCCCATTTTGACGATGGTTAACAATATTGAACAGTTTGGATAGCGACAAAAAGCTGAAAAAACTATCCCCGTAACAGGCCCTGGAGGCCCATAAGCTTGTGAGACATCGAGGATCTCGCATCCTCTAGACAATCGGCTCACAGATGGCGGTAAGTTTGTCAGCCTTAAGCGCCGGCCGCCTTTTATCCCCCAGAAAGATTCCTGGTACTCATTTCTGTTAGAGGCCGAGTCGACCCCAGGGCCATACTGCAGCCGAAAGGATTAGGTCAATTAAACATCCAATGACCTCATTGGGAATCGAACCCGCAAATATCGAAAGTTGTAGCTTTACGAACATTGCGGTACCCAGGAACGCGAATTGTGCAGGCAAAACTTACAATGACAGCATGTGGAACCTCTGTGTGCTATGGTAGGGATTGCAACTCTCTAATCTTCATACACTGCTATCACAAAAATTGTTCTGAAGGTAAACTGAGGTAAACGAAAACGGCTGACGGTGGGCGAGACTTCATTACGACCAACACTCTTATACGTATATGTCTCTCTTATAACGATCACACAGAAAAACTCGTTGCTCAAGTGTGTATTTCCCCATTTCAATTCAACGACGTAACAGGCCTCTGCAAGATCTTACTAAAGCGAAAACACAAAGAGAAGTGATCCAAGTGATTCTTATTCGTCTTGTTACAGTGAATCATTTGCTGTTGGAGCCACTAGCCGCAAGACAAGGCATTGCGCAGTCCGCGTACCGCGCATGGCAAGTTCAGCTAACCATGAGAACATGAGAAAGACAGTGTACCTGTGTACTGACTTTCGTTCTGTATGCGGCAGCGTAGTTGGTTGAGGTAGTTGAGGTACTATGGTACGAGCCGGAAGGTCGCGGTTTCGATTCCCGAAGAGGTCATTGGATTTTTTTAATTGACCTAATCTTTCCAATTGGACTATGGCCCTGGGGTCGACTCAGCCTCTAGCATAAATGAGTACCAGGAATCTTCCTGGGTAGCAGAGGGCGGCCGGCGCGTAAGGCTGACAACCTCACCGCCATTTGTGAGCCGATTGTTTAGAAAATGTGGGAACCTCGACGTCTCACAACCCTATAGGCCTGCACGGCCTTTTACAGGGATAGCTTTACCTTTTTTTACAATACACATTATCACTAAAAGTTTATTTCCCACCAAATGATGTATCGAGATGTAGGTGTAGATGGATAGAGACATCTTACAGGCAGTAGTAGTGCCTGAGAAAAATAACTCAATTTCCTTGGCTCAGGATATGGCCCAATGGTTGAATCTTGTGAACACGATGATGGATTTTCGGGTGCCATAAAAGTCACGAATTCCTTGACCAGACGGACGACTGTTACTTCCTCAAGCATTTTATTCCTTCGAGTTAGATAATAATTTACCCTCAAATGTATCTTCCGCCTGGCTAAAGCGGTAGCAATGCTGACTTATATTCCTGGGGTGACCAGTCCGAAGGCGAACTGATGCTTTCCATGGTATCCTCAGCCCCTTCAAGCGAATGCCTTTACAGTATCCCGAATTATTTGGTGGCTGCTTCCTCCGAAATCCTTTCAACTTCACTGAGCATGATCTTATACCACCCAAAGTTAATGATCACTTCAGAACTTGCAGCGTCGTTAATTCACACCCAACCCAGTCTGCAGTTCGGTCCTAGATGAGTTCAGTTTCCAAGTGGGTTTAAATTAAGATATTATTGTCCTTATTGACATTTCGAACATAAATAAGAATATAGAGAAGGGATAGCTCAGTCGGTATAGCGACTGGCTACGGGTTGGATGACCGAGGGGTCGGAGTTCGAGTCCCGGTAGGGTCAAGAATTTTCTCTTCTCTACGTCGTCCAGACCGGCTCTGGGGTCCACCCAACCTCCTATCCAATTGGTAACGGGGGCTGCTTCCCCGGGAGTAAATCGGCAGGGGCACGAACCTGACCACTCACCTCCAGCTAGTGCCTAGGTCAAGAAAATGTGGATCTGTACATCCACTCCCCCATACGTCTTCATGGCGTAGTGCTTAATTAGTGAAGCATAGAGACAACTTTACCTTTTACATAAGAATATATACAGGGATACTGCTGGGTGAAGTGGGTGGATTTAAAGCAGCTAAATACGTATAGAGCAGCAGGATTGCAAACATTCCAAATCTAATTTTGAGTGCTTCTGTTGTTAACGCTACAGCATTTGTCTTTCAGGTGTGGGATATCCGACAAGAGGGAGGTCAGGCCATAGGTTTCACATGTGACGTAACGGACAGGAAAGCTGTAATGGAGACAGCTGTCTTGGTGCAGCAACAGATCGGTCACGTGACCATACTGATCAACAACGCCGGAATCTGCCTGGTGAAACCAGTTCTAGAATGCACCCCTGACGAGCTGTACGGTCTGCTGGACACGAACCTCATGGGGCACTTCTGGGTAGGAACTTCACTCGGTTTATGTAACGACACTGTCAGTAACATCGAAACAAAGGTTGCTCAATGAAAACTGATTTGGACAGAATGCGGAAGGAGGCGGTCGCCGCTTAATTTGAGGTATGGTATCTGTATTTGCCTGGTGACACTGAGGAAAACCACGAAGGGTCTGGTTTATGAATACAAAATATATATAGGATAATTAAACGCAAAAAAATACAACAAGACTCTAGGGTATAATCCTAGATTTCACATATTATAACAATTCTTGGTGACCTGTGTAAATCACACAGATCGTCATTATGTAGTCACCAGCAATTTTGATTTCGTACTTCGGAATGACACAGACCCACTAGTTACCCACGTTTTCTGTTTATTGTGTTATGACGGTCAATAAAGAGTTGTACACGTATTTACATTGTTTAGCTTTTCTAAACAAATGAATTACTTGTATATTATAATTTGGATGCTTGTTCCAGTATAGCGGCGTGCTCATCTGTTTCCAGTATATACGTATCACTGCTCACTATACATACGCGTATCAGGAAGAGTCGCTGGTCTTGTTAGACGGTGCTTACCATTCCTTCTTCCTGCCTACTGTATTGTTTTGTTTCAGACTCTGAAAGCCTTCCTGCCGGCCATGTTAGAGAGGAACTCAGGACACGTGGTAGCCATTTCTTCGGCTGCCGCCATAGCTCCTGTGGCCCACGAGGCGGTATACTCTGCCTCCAAAGCAGCCGTCTCTGGTAACAAAAGCGCATTCTCACGGAAGCGTTTCACAATACACGTCTACTTTGTTAAGCATAAGTCGCCGCTTATCCATGGAAACCAGGACTTGTCTGTCTCTTGATTTTTAGAAAATGTGCATAAAAACTGAAATAATTCTCGGCGATTCATTGATGAACTGCCCTCTCTTGGCACGTTTCTCGAAGACTTTCTCTTTACACAGAAGCAAATGCGATAATTTACCGAATAAGTTTAAATATTTAGTTTACTGGAGATTTTTGTGCATATATTTGTATAATTCGAAATCTACGTATTTTACTCAGAGATGAAAGAAACACCTACATCTCACAGGGCACGCGGTAGCGTAGTTGGTTGAGACACTATTCTACAAGACGGAAGGTCGCGGGTTCCAGTCGTGATCAGGTGGATTTTATCAATTCACCTGATCCATCCGCACTATGGCCCCGGGGCGGACTCAGTCTCTAACGGAAATGACTACCAGGAATCTTCCTGGGAGTAAAAGGTGGCCGGCGCGAAAGGCTGACAAACCGCCATCTGTGGGTTGATTGTCTAGAAGATGTGGGCGCCTCGACGTCTCACAATCCTATGGGCTTTCACGGCCTGTTACAGGTAGCTTTAACTTTTTTTTTACCTATAGGGTCATTCCATGTGAAATCATCCAGAGAGGTCGCTCACAATTTTTAAAAAAATTCAAAATTTGTACACTCATTTCTACAGATTTTCACACCTCAAAAAAAAATGTTAAAAAAATTGTGATCCGCTCGGTTCTCCCGGTACAGCCGTTTTTATAATGCGAAAAAAACGCGTTTTCGGCTCAAATGGAGGTTTGCGTTATCTTCTGTATCTCGATAACTACTGAAGCTAGAGACTCTAATGAAAGACCAATTTGTTCCTCATGATATAGATAACAAATCATATTATTATAAGGTTTTACTCAACTCACTTCCTCTAGGTCAAATTAACCTCGAAACTTACCTATCGATTTTGGGTGAAACGCTATCTTTGACCTTCAAAATCCAATGGGAGGGGGAAAGTATCAGATCTGTGGTTTCTACCCTTTGTTTTCTCCTACATTTAGAATATAATCATATAGATTTGAACACCATATCTATTTTCTAAAATTTTCCAGGAGCTTCCAAACTTTGCTCTGGGCCCAAAATCGGCCATTTTTAACATCTCATATCTCCGGCGGAGAAGCTCCGAAAATGTNGAATCTTTCCAATTTATGCCATCACTATGAGGACTTCGGACTTGAAGCAGAATGGAACTTCTTTGCCATCTCGCACGGGAAGAATGCCTGTGACGGTATTGGCAGCACCACGAAGAGGCAAGCAGCGAAAGCCAGTCTTAAAAAAACTCATTTTAATCAAATCATGTGCCCGCTATAACTGCAAATATTCTGCACAGAAAATATCCCAGGAATAGTTTACTTTTTTGTGCCAAAAGAGGAAGTTGCAAGAAATGAAATCATTCTAAAAAGCAGGTTCCAAAAGTGCAAAACTGTGCTCCACACAAGAGAAAATCACCGGGTCGTCCATCTGGAGGAAAACAGGGTCAGGTGTTATTAAACATCCAAGTCCGATGGTTTCGAAGACATCGTGATAGTGGACACTTACTGAACCACGTGTACTTTCAAACAAAGTGGAAAATATTCATCGGAGTACACAAAGAACTAATAACATTTGATGCAGGTAAGCCAATTGTTGAGATATTGTTTTTTTTTTTTTGGTAAAATTCAAAGTGCCCAAAACTTCGCTAGTAGTTGAATATAAAAGTTGTAATTTTAATTTCAAGCTGCTCTAGAATAGTGCACTATTTGCTATTAATTTCAAAATTTTCGGAGCTTCCCCACCGGAGATATGAGATGTTAAAAATGGCCGATTTTGGGCCCAGAGCAAAGTTTGGAAGGTCCTGGAAAATTTTAGAAAATAGGTACGGTGTTCAAAACTATATGATTGTATTCTTCATGTAGGAGAAAACAAAGGGTAGAAACCACAGATCTGATACTTCCCCCCTCCCATTGGTTTCTGAAGGTCAAAATAGCGTTTTTCCCAAAATCGATAGGTAAGTTTCAAGCTTAATTACACCTAGAGGAAGTGAGTTGAGTAAAACCTTATAATAATATAATTTGTTATCTATATCATGAGGAACAAATTGGTTTTTCATTAGAGTCTCTAGCTTCAATAGTTATCGAGATACAGAAGATAACGCAAACCTCCATTTGAGCCGAAAACGCGTTTTTTTCGCATTATAAAAACGGCTGTACCGGGAGAACCGAGCGGATCACAATTTTTTTTACATTTTTTGAGGTGTGAAAATATGTAGAAATAGGTGGACAAAATTTGAATTTTTTTAAAAATTGTGAGCGACCTTTCTGGATGATTTCATATGGAATGACTCTATAGCTCATATTGTACGTGGATTGTTCTACAGTTTGATGACCATACGGTACCGGGAAAACCCCATTGCCGTAATGTTTAACAGCATGAGGAACTGAGTACGTGTACTTCGAGGTAAGTGACGCACATTTCTGACATGAGAGCTGTGTGCAATATTCTGAAGTAAACGTATATGTCAAAAGATAAATCTCTGAAATGAACAAATGTCCATATGCCTTTGACTTTCCACAGAAAGTAGCGATTATTATAATTGTTTTAAAACAAAACATGTTACACAGTGTGTGTGCTTTCCTAATTTCATTTGAGAAGTCATTGTCACAAGATGCACCGACCTGTTCACAGGGTTGATGGACGGACTGCTCCAGGAGCTATACCTTCAGAACAGAAAGGTCAAAGTGACTTGCGTGCACCCCTACTTCATAGCCTGCATGAATGACTTGCCACTGAAATTCGACCTCAGGTAAGCAATGCTTATGCTCGGCCATTTTGTCATTCCGAAAATAAATTATGGAAATTCTTTTAAACGATGATCGGAGGTGAACCACACAATGCTCCTCCCCCAGGTAAGATCAAAGCGCGCAGAAGCAGAAAGTCGAGTGTCACGCAGACCCCCTCACATTTCCGATTCGTGATTCGTGATACAAAGATTTGACAACTGTTCTGGTCGCTATAGGGATATTCATGTATCTAACGTTCTCTGACCGGTGCACTGTTCAATATCATCGTACCGATAAATTGCACTTCCTCTGGCCGCAATAGTGTTCGTTATCATCTTACTGAAGTATGGAACGTCTTTCTCTGACGGATGTACTGTTCGTTATCATCTTACTGAAGTATGGAACGTCTTTATCTGACGGATGTACTGTTCGTTACTATCTTAATGAAGTATGGAACGTCTTTCTTTGACGGATGTACTGTTCGTTATCATCTTACTGAAGTATGGAACGTCTTTCTCTGACGGATGTGCTGTTCTTTATCATCTTACTGAAGTATGGAACGTCTTTCTCTGACGGATGTGCTGTTCGTTATCATCTTACTGAAGTATGGAACGTCTTTCTCTGACGGATGTACTGTCCGTTATCATCTTACTTTCACTCGCTCACGGACTAACTCCTCAGATCTTAGCTTCTTCTCAGAGGTGAGCAGTCGCTGATCTAGACGAGAATTTCCCCGAATTCTAAGGAAGCAGAAGCGAACTCTACTGGGCCCCGTCATGTATCATACTCGTATGAGTATAGCTTACGCTCTAGCCTTCTTTTCCTTCATGATCAATATTAATGTTATCTTCCCAATTACACGTAGATCTCATAAGTGGTCCCTGCCAGTTAGGTTTCCTGATATACATATTTTCTATGCACTATTTTTCTCTCAATGCTTCGAACATACGGCTTCTCATATTAATTATTTGGTACATGAAGTGCAAACAGTATGGAGCTCCTCCTTAAGCATTTCCCGTTACTCCTTCCATTTTACGTACTAATATCGTTCTGAAACGCTCTCAATCTATGTTCTGCGCTTAGAGGAGAGATCAGGCTTTACATCCACACAAAACAAAAGAAAAGTTTAGAGATCTTTATGCTTAAGCCTTTATGTCTACTTATAGCAACTGGGAAGGATAGCTGTTATGAAATGACTGGTAGCAAGCATGCGCAGAACTCTCTCTAACCTGCTCCGATTTTGTGCATTCTGGGATTCCTTATTTAACTTTGATTCTGTACTGCGTTTCGCTCAAGAGACATGGACCTAGACTTAGTTTCCCATGGAATGCGGATGCTTAACAGCGTGCATCCGCGTACTATAAAGTGATGTAGCTTAACACTAAACTGATACTAACATTCTGAACTTTAAAACCTGGCGCACATAATTTTTAATAACTGTAATAACTTTATACTTTTTAACAACTTCAGTGCTTTTAAATAATTTTTAAGACATCTTTCAATAATTTTAATACCTTTAATACAAAGTCAACGAACTTGTATAATATATCCTTTCAATATATATTCTAGATATATTTCACATACATAATTTCAATACCTATATTTAACTCGAGGCACAATTCTGTATCATAGGGTATGACACGTTGTAGCGATTATGGATCCATATTAGCAGTTCACTGATCCTACACGAATTCTTAGATCTCTGCCTGATGATGGTCCTATGAGACCGAAACGTGTAGCAGGAAATTAATATTTATTTGTAAACCATTAATTTATTATAAATCACTTTGTTGTGGCGACCGCTAAGCTAACCGTGTACGTACGTTTGGGACATGCAACGGGATTCGCACTCTGAACATAGAGCAGCGTCTAATTGAATTTCTGTTTCCTTGTGATGTTCTTGCTTTTGGTCAATAAATTATCATAATTAGCATAGATTAGAAGTTGGAGTGTCCATTTCTATTCTAGTTCCTGCTCACTTTCTTTCATTAGTGGTACAGTAATCAGCAAAGTCGAAAAACAATTACTATAAAACTTCTTACTGTTTCAGACTACTCTGAACAGAAAATTCCTCAGACAAATATTTGTTTGTACACTACAAGTTTCGTTTAAACTAATTACACTCAGTATACCATATTTAATGTCAATATTGTACAATACACCTCTCGAAGGTTGTAGGCGTTATTGAATTTTTCAAATAGCTGATATACTGTCTCATTGTACTACCATTTTTAATTTTGTACAAAGCATCTGATCAGTAATTAATCTGAAGAGAGCCGACTTCTGGGATGTGGCGCAGTGTAGATATTGTGTTAGTCTATTTGCACCTGCTCACACCGGTTCTTCGTGTGCGGATTTTCTTCTCTTTTCTTCTACCCTGAAGATGGAGGCGATACATTTCTCTGAAACGTCGCTTAATACAATATTTACAGGCGCCACATCCCAGAGGACTGCTTTATTCATAGTCACCGTCGTGAAAACCTCAAATCTTACAAGTAATTAATCTATTCCATAGTGGATGTCTGGAAGAGTGAAAGGTATTTAACGAAATTGATCACTAAATTGAATTTACTTAAGAAACCGAAGCTATCCTCTCCATGCAAGTGGAATCCTTTAAGAGAAACCAGGTAATGTGAAGTCTTCCCAGAACTTTCAGTTTGACTTCTACATTAAGACTGTCGCGCTGAGTCTGGCCGACGAACTGACAGCTAAGAAATTACCCATTTTCAGAACCTAACACAAAACAAGCAACAGATTGCAGCCAAGGAATTCGCAATAAATCTCTTGCTGTTATTCTTCCATATGGAGCAAGTGTCCTCTGTTGCAGAATTGGCAAGCTGTCCCCTAACTACGCGGCTACAGAGATAGTCAAGGCGGTTCTGGAAGAACGCGAATCCATCAGCATTCCGAGATTCATGTTGTTTTGGATATATTTCCTGAGGTTTGTTATATCATTTGCTCCACAGAATTAAAGTAGAAATCAAATGTATTGAAGCGCAAGATATTAATTTAAAGTGTCTTGTTTCAACTGTTGAAATTTGTCTCTTTGTTTAAACTCAGAAAACGATACATTTACTTTCCATGAAATATTATGCTACGATTTCGTTTCGTCCTCAGCTACTAATGTAGGGCGATATTTAAACAATTCGAATTTGTTTAATTATTTTGTGGCATAACCTCTTTACTCATAACAAGAACAATAAATCCAATTACCAATCCAAACTCCGTCTAGTCACTCCATCACGTGACATTATCAAGTACAGAAAACCTGAAGAGAATAATTTGGAAAACATATGAGTTGTGAATAAGACTCATCTTAAAAGACTGTCCTCTGGGACGTGACGCCTTGAAGTCTGGAAGAAGTTACAAATCTTTCGGAGGAACATAGTGCTCCCATCTTCAGGGTCGAAAGTAAACCGAGCGAAGTAAGAACTGGGATGGAAACAGGAAAGGTAGATCCAACTCCTGAGAGGAAAAACAGCGTTTCTTCGGTATTCCTTCGGTTGGGTGAAACTGAGTCCCTTGGTGCTTGGCCTCGAGTTGGCCCACTTTATCATCAGCGGATGACAGAAGAGAGGGTACAGTATTGGTTCAACTGTAATTTGGAGGGGGGGCCGAAGCACTCGGAAAGAAACCCATCCCGTTCCAACTTTGTCCTCCGCAGTCTCATACGGACTGTACTTGGACTGAACCCGAGTAAATGAATGGACATTAAGAGGGTCATTTTTAAACGCAGAGGTGTAACAAATAGGAACGTAAATGTAACCTGCGAAGTGTGCAGTGAAGGGGCATACCGCAGGGCCTCGCGTCACAGAAGTTGGGTCGCGCCATAGCTCAAGCGGTTAGTCGATGGCTTCCCGATCCCGGGTCTGGTCAAGTGGGATTTGTGGTGGACAAAGTGGCACTGGGGCGGGTTTTCTCCGAGTACTTCGGTTTTCCCTACCATTCTTCATTCCACCAAATTCTCCATCATCATAATCACCCGGGGCAGGTACAATAGGCCAATCAGTGGACGCCGTGCCGAGTGGACCCAGTTGGACTCTACCCCCCCACTAAGCGAATTAAAAAAAAACAACTTAAGTTTCATGTTGATCAAACGAAAAATTGGACGTACACTATAAGTACTGATAAAGGCCACGGGTTAGTAAATACACATAAAAATTGAGATCGGAAGAATTTCCGAGTCGTCGGCAATAGAGATCACAAGAGCCAGGCAAGATCATTAGCAATAGAATCGAATGTCCTTAAAATTCCGGCATAGAAAGTAATTTTCTTCTCAGAGCGTTGTTTGACCATCAAATATTTGGTTACAGATGTTTGCCACAGAGTGCAAGAAAACGCTGGAGAGAGATCTTCCATGCACGAGTATGGCCGGAACCCGTGATAACTGAAAAGAGAACCGGCAGTTCCACTGTCCCAGCCCCCAGCAATACTGTGGACAATGAGACGGCCTCTCGCGATATCGCAAAGAACAAAACCACAGTTTCTTCATGTGGGGAGATACAGAACATGCCAAGTTTATCGGAAAACTCGACACCGAATGATCATAATGATAAGAATAAACCTATAAAGGTTTACAACTTGTTAGACCTAGACAGAGGACAGACAGTTACTTCGTCAGTTAACAGAGGACAACTCTTCTCCGAAACAGGAGGAGACTTATTCAACAAGAACGTGGCCACAAACGATACGCCGGTTGAAATCCAGGCGCCAGAAGCAACATCAAAGCTGTAGATAAAATAAGATATGAATATAAATTACTTCCTTAATACTACCATCCAGTTGAATCACATTACGTGTTACTTACCTCCTAAACTCACAAGAAGTTTCAGCACTTACCAGACCATTGCCAGGGCCCAATCTTCTTCCTGTCACGGTCTGTGCTGAATTGTTTAAGAGTTTTCCTTTTTGCAGCACTAAGCTTGCGCCTGCGGTAACTAGACCCAGTTCTCTCTGTCCAGTAGGAAGTCATGTCTTCATAATTGTTTTCGTCGAATAAATGAAACTGCCTTGAAATTCATCTAAATATATGTGCAGATTTTCTCTAATATACACATAAGGTCTTGGTTCCAGAAATGTGTCTGTTGTTTATTATGGTATAATGCAGCACGGTATGTTCCAGTTTCAGTAATTATATATATTTCAAGTGGGGGAGGGGAGATCCTAGTCGGAAAATAGGAAAAAAAGCAAAACAACACCACAGGCAGCCTGAGAAACTACAAACGCAATAATTCTGTGTGTGCAAAGTGAGACAATTTAATTCCCGGAATGGCCCTGTGAAAATAGAATTTGCTTATCCCTGCACTAGCGGCTTCTGTTTCCTTGTGAAGCTATGCAATTAGCGAGACGGTAGTGCCACTGCCTGAAACCGGTTTGAAAATCATTTTCCGGAATATCTCGCAGTAACGTTGTCACGTTGCGTTGGATGTCAGGAATGTCAGCAAATCTCCGTCCATTCAGGGCATTTTTAATTCTGGAAAGAGTAAAAAATTGTAGGGGGCTACTTCAGGTGAATAAAGTGGATGGCCCATTTTTGTAATAAATTTCTTAGCCAGTAACTAGAGGACTCTTTACCGCATCATGCGCAGGGGCACTGTCATGGTGGAGAATCCACTTGTCAGACCTGAGTTCGGGTATTTTCCTCCGAACAGATTCCCGTAACCTTGTCAGCACTTCCAAATAACACTGTTGATTCACCGTTTGTCCTTGTGCAGTGAATTCATAGTGAACTGCCCCCTTGTGATGGAAGAAACACACAAGGGCGGTCTTGAACTGCGAGCGAAACATGCGTGCTCTTTTCAGCCAAAGTGAATTCTGTGTTTTCCACTGCATTCTCTGGCGTTTGATTTCCGGGTCGTATTGAAAACACGTTTTATCGCCGGTAATGACCCTATCAAACTTCTCTGCATTTTGTAAACGATAAGATGAAATATGAAGCCGACGTTGTTTCTGGTCATCTGTCAAGATTCGAGGTACCATCACTGCGGACATTTTTCTCATTCTCAAATTATCCGCAGTAATCTGTCGCGCTGTTTCCCTATTCATCTGTCCTTTGCGTTTTTGTCTGCCCACTTATTGGGTCTTGCCCTTCTTTGAACTGCCTATACCACTCAAAAACATTCGATTTCTTCATGGCGCATTCAACATAAGCACTTATAACAATCTTCATAGAAAACTTACGTTCATCCTGTGCTCCTGATTCTTGTCACTCATGTTTCCACCAATAGTGTACCGCGGACACGTACCGCTTCCTCTGCTGCTTGCGAACGATCGGTTCATTTGGTCTGTGGCTCATGTAAACACAAGTTGGAACATGTCCAAACGTGCTTGAGTACATCAGTTTACCTGAATTAATACCCCAGCGACACGCTGCGGTCATTCCAGGAATTAAATTGTCGCACCTCTTATAAAAAAAGTCCAAGAAACTTTAAAAATTTCATGGTGCACAGGCTGCTTCAATGTATACACCGAAATTTTAATAACTGTAGACAATATTATCATGAGATATAATAATACACATTTTCATATGTAACTTTTAGTAACTCTAGAAGGCTTTTCGTGTTAGAGACCAATAACATGAAGAACTTGGAGGATTATCTATACGTTAATTAAAAGATGTATACGTGATGGGGGCTCTTTTAGTGTCGGAACAGGTTATGTGTTTAAGGGATAAGTAATATTATGATGTAATTGGATGGTAGTATTAAAAATATGTTGCAAGGCAGGCAAACGAATGTGGAAAAATTACATCAATTAATTTGAGTATATAAGACTTGACATTTCTGTAATAAATTGACACTTCTATGTTTTAACACAATTCTCGTTCATTCTCGATTACCGTTTTGCTTGTTTAAACCAATAAAATCTATTACAACTTTGCATTAAAAGTTTCTATTATAATTTCGTTTAATTTTATAATATTTTTGTTGCAACTCACAAGTGAAAAAATGCTCGTGAAGCAGGAATCACAAAAGCTGGTCTTGTCTTGTGAGGCGAGAGACATGCGTATGCTTGGCTAGCTATATTTGTTTAAACACTGCTGTAACAGTTGCAGCGATGAGGCGGTCCCGACAATGGCACTTTCTTACTAACTTTAATTCTCAGTGCAATAAGGGAATACGTCCTCTATTTGCCGCTCCCTTCGGGACACACGATTATTCTGTTTGTGAATCCATTTACCGATACATGCCGCAAGATACGGCCTTCTTCATTTCTTTCTATTTTTATGACTATTCCCGCCTCCCAGATCATTATAAATTGGCCTGTAACTCCCCAAACGTCATATAATCCTCTTCCATCCTCCTCAGTAATTTTGTGCTTCGAGCTAAATCAGAGACCCAAGAATTAAACTGTCTGTACATTAACTGCCAGGCCTTCCTACGTCTCCCGTTTCGTGATGCAGCACATGGATAAGGCATTTAAGGGTCCCTGTGTTCCTGTATTCTATTTTTCTTCTTAAAGTAAGCTATTATTTTTATTAAAAAAGCAGCAGAAGGCCAGATCGAACTGCGTATTGCATAACTACACACTCTCCATCAGATACTCTTAGGGCAGTGGTTCTCAAACTTTTTACCTCTGAGCACCCCCCCGACAAGAGAAAATACTCTCAGGCCAACCTGTTTTTTTTTTTATCAAAATAGATGTCACGGTATGTTTGACCTTTTATTCATTTTATTTTGTTTTTTCTACATACTATTTCGCAGTTTTCTTACACGAAATTAAAGTATCATAATATTAGGCCTACAATAGAAATTAGTTTTAACACTTGCAATTAACCAAAATATGTATTGAAATGAAACAATATTTAACTAACAAGTGTTTATTTTTTTTCTGCAAAGAAAATCAAACATTTAAATGTCAAAGTTCAGTGTGATGGATGGGCCTGCTTTTGAGAACAAAGTTTATCAAAACGTGGTGTAATATCAGAAACGGCCACTCTAACTTCTTCAGCAATGTTTAGCCTTGAACGATACTTTGACTTTATAGCTGCCAAAGCAGAGAAGCCTGTCTCGCAGAACTAAGTTGTTGCGAAAGGAATCAGGATCTTCAGTGCTTTTTGGCTCAAAGTTGGGAATTCCGTGCCAATATGTATCCAGAACTTCAACAAAGACAATTCCTTAAATTTACTTTTTAATGAAGTATCACTAGTGAGATCGATGAGTTGTTCTTGCTCATTTACCTTCAGAGGTGATGGCCCAGGAGCATTTTCGAATGGATTTTTGATCCAATTAAATTTATCAAAATCATTGCAAAAGTATTATTCAAAATGAACTTTCAACATTATGAAATGATCAAGTAGGCAGCTTTTTATGTCCATTGGAAGCACTGGATTATCAGTGTCTTGTACCATTGACACCAGAGTAGGGAACATGTCTAGCGTGTCACTTTCCATACTGTGTCTCCAGAGCTCTAATTTTCTCATGAATGCCTTCACTTTGTCATTCCAAACACTTTCTGCAAACTGTTTCACGAACTCCGGAATACAAGCATGGGTGTTCCAAGTCAAGTAATCTTGCCTCCGAACTTCCTGGATGAACGCAAGCTGATTAAAAATGACTTGAAATATAGGGAGGGAATCTCATGAGAGTTTCATGAACAACTACAAGCAATGCGATACTGCAGTCTGTGGCTTGTACTGAGTAGGAGTATCCTCATTATGGATGAGTGCCGTGAGCCGTTGGCGATAGAATTTATTCCTGAAAAGCATTGCGCATTCAGCTCCTATCTTATCAAGATAGCGAGACCTAAGCACCTGATTCGCTGCTGCAATCAGAAGAATTATTGCCAAGAAACAACAATGATGCGGAATAAACCAGTGAAACAACTGAGCGCAGAAGGTGTCCAGCCACGGTTACTGTGGCCGGTGAATCCTCTCCGCAGCCCAGAGACCCCATTGAAGTGAATGTGATGAGTGTCCTCTCCAAGCTGTAAGAACAACTGTGTAAACATCACTTTCTCCTAACCCAAGTGAGGCAGAGGCTACCCTCATTTTGCAACAGGAGGAGGTGTCTGGCCACGGTTACTGCGGCCCGTGTGACCTCTACGCAAACACAGAGACCCCACTGAAGGGAACTTGATGCGTGCCGTCTTCAAGAAGAAAGGAACAACAGTGTGACATTGCCGCACCACGTTATAATCTTTCGTCCCCCGTGATGCATGACCTCTACTCAGGTGGCCCCATAAGGAAGGCATAAATGATGACTATTTACAACATGCCGCAAACAAAGAAGGAAAGTCCCGAAGATGGATTCAGTTTCTTCCTCCTGGACGTACAGAAGAAAGTGCAAGAAAGAGGCGCTGTCTTCATCAGTGAGATTGCAGCCTTGATGTGGGAGCACATGACACCGGACGAGAGATGGGAGTATGAGGACCAGGCCCGAAACAAGACGCAGAACCTGTGCCACGTGGATTCTAAGAACAAATTTCGGCCCCGGAAGAGATACTGTGCCCGGATTGAGCGAGTGCTGAACCGGGCTAACGGGAAGATCTGTCCCAGGAGATAGAACAAATTGAGCGTGCGCTCAAACACCAGAACTCACTGAAAACCCACCGGTTCCACCTGTTGCACGTCAACTACTACTGCAAGCATCACAGTCGCTGGTACCTCGGCTGTGAAATTGCTCTCGTTGGGTTGAGTTTTGTGGATGGCGTTAGGAAGGCTTTTCATGCATTCATTAACCCCGGTGAGATTCTCTTTCGCTATGCTTCTCTGGAATTAAACATACAACAAAAACTCATCTGATTCCATTGCCTTCAGACGGTTTCGGGAATGAGTCACATAATCAGGAAATACTCACCAACATCAGATTATTTCTAATGGGAGAGGATGGAGGCGAAACACACCTGCCGCCTCTGTACACGGGACAGGAAACATAGAAGATGTTGAAAGCATTTTGTGGCAAATGAGTGAACACCGTGATCAGCACAGAAATGCGGGAAGAGATGACTTCCGCTTATACTCTGTCTGCAAAGTGTTTCACGAACTACAGAAGGTAAGCAAGGGTGTTCCAAGTGAAGTAATCTTTCTTCCCAACTTCTTGGATGAACGAGCTGATTAACGAAGGTTTGGAATTTACGGAGGAATCTCATGCGACTTCCACGAGGAACTAGAAACAATGCGATAATGCAGTCTGTGCGACTCTACGTTCTTTGCTGATACAAACACAGTAAATTCCGTCCATTTATCACAAATATTGGGTTAGATACAGCATTTTTAAACACAATGCTTAAAATAATGTAAAATTTCATGGGCACGTATTTTACATAATACCCCATTCTATTCATTTGATGGCTTTTTGAGGTCAAAATCTAGAGTGGAACTACTAGTTATCATTAGTGTCAATAGTGGGTAACATCTGATTTGAACCTGAAGTGAATAGAGTTCTAAACTATGTTACAGAAGAGCGGAAGTCTGAAATAACTCTTTTTGTGAACTTCATTAATATTTTTCAATGTCTCAAGTCTGTAGGGTGCAGTTTGATGTCTTTTGGAAATTTACTGTTTTGTAAAAGATCATGTGTGTTTGTGTAATATTTTTGTTACTGACATTAAATCAAACCTAAATCTTCTGATAAGTCCTCTTTCTTTTTGCAGTACCATGAAAACTACCCTGATTCACGAGAACTGTAATAACTGGCAATCGCAGCACATATAAACTTCTAAACAAACCACCCTTCTCTCGTTCTCTCAGCAGCATTGGTGTCCGATATCAAAAAGGGCAGGAATACACTTTAACTTCAATTCGTCCCCCCA